GGGTCCGGTTTTGACGTAAAACTTCGACGGTCATAACTTCTTCGTTATAAACGGGATTTTGGCGTTCTTTATATGTACGGAACCCTTGAGACATATTCTACAACTTGGTTAACATTATTTATTCTTAATAATCTTTTGTCGAAAAGTCGTTTTCGACCCCTATTATCTCTAAATTGACTAGCCCGGATCTACGGGCGTTACAATTATCTCCCCCTTAGGATGATTACGTCCCGGAATCATCAACAAAACAGGGATGTATAATGACTCCATACGTTATCTCTTCATCCTAGGTAATAATCGTAACTTCTATGTTCCTTCGAATGAGTATCTAACTCTTGGACTCCTTGTCTGCAGGTGGTGCTCGATCTTGGACTTGCTCCCTATCTCACGTTATACTCCAAATTATGACCTTCAAGTTACAATCTCGATCCTCACTAGACACGAACTTAAGATAAGTTCTTTTATTACTACAATGGACCGATGTGTCATATTCTAATGACCTATCATCGTATGTTGCAACGCTTAGACTCAAGTCTCTTAGAGTCTTCCAGAACAGACTATACTTTCCTTCATGTTCTAATCTCATCTTAAAAGGTAGCATTTCTAGCTACAAGTAACCGTCGCGATACCTCTATTGATCGCTTTGATTAATTCTTCCGGCTTAAGTCAGGTGCTACATCGGACTTGGTTCTCTGAACCATGTAACATACTCGTCTTAGTCGGACTCAATTCGATATGACCAAAAAGCTCTACTAGTGAGAGAAAGCTTTGTTTTGTGGCAGAAAGCTCTACTGGTAAGAGAAAGATATATTGGTGCCAGAAAGCTTTTCTGGTAAGAGAAATTTTTGTATAGTGGCAGAAAGATATGGTGGTAACAAAAAGCTCTGTTAGTGGAAAAAAGCTTTGTTGGTGAGAGAAATCTTTGTTTGGTGGAAGAAAGTTCCACTGGTGAGAGAAAGTTCTATCGATGAGAGAAAGCTCTGTCTGGAAGGAAGTAGTTGATGCATGGTGTTCTGTTATCGGCTGAGATTTAAGGCACCCCCTTTCACGGGCTAATTATGGATGGGGTTGACCTATTAGATTTAGGATTTCTCATGCTTTCCTATAAATAGACACACATCTCCATCATTATTTGAGGCTAGTTTTCATGAGTACTTTAAAGAGAGTAATCATTGTGAGAGCACACACTTTGAAGTAGTTCATAAGAAAGAGTGATTCTTTTGTTTTAAGAGCTCAAGTAAGGTGCAACAGTAAGTGATTGGTATACTTCCTGAAAGTTTAATAAAATCCCCTACCTCATTCGCATGTAGACGTAGGTCACTTTGATTGAACCACGTTAAATATTGTGATCAATTTTGATTTCCTTTTTCAGAAGCTTTATTCTGCAAGTTTCACTGAAGTTCGTTTATCATTTGTATGAAGTGCTTAACTTGCTTTGTTGAATTTTCCAACAGAGTTTGTATTTAGTGGTTGAACCAACATAGATGGGTGAGAGAGAAATGATGTCGATGGTGAGCTTAGGAGGATGTTGATCGACGACAAGGGAAGAAATATGTGACTGAATGGTGAAACTCGCTGGTGTGCATATGGGTTCACAGACCTTGAGCAAAAAAGAAGTTGTATCTTACGGATCTTATATAAAAAATGGTGGAGTTTATATCTGGGTAACTGACAGACCTTTCATATATGGGTTGAAGGTGGCAGTAAGGTTAGCAGCGTAGATGGCTGAGCTTTTAGTGGGTGATATGCAGAGGTGAAGAAGAACAACAATGTTGCAGGTTTTTGACTTTAGAGTTGCAGACTTCCGGTGATGGTGTTCACATGCTTGCTGATGGCGGCGGCTTTAGAACTGTAGGTTTCTAACGGCGACGGCTCTGACAGGGACTTGAGGTGCATATATGTGCTTTAGGTTTGGCTTTAGAGGGAGAGAGATGGCTTGAGCTTATTATCGATGGCTTTAAGTCTAAGAAGGGAAGAGAGGGTTGGGGGTGTTGGTATGTGTTAGGCCTAAATTTTATAATAATATCTAATATAATTTTAAGAAATAATCTTTAATTTTAAATATAAACAAAATACAACAAGGGTATATAGGTTTTCCATGTCTGCCATGGACAAAAATCGCAACAAAAATATATTCTAGGGACAGTCTGAGAGCAAAAAAAAAGGACCAAGCATGTAATTTTAGCCAACCCGTACAGACAATTTCAATAATTTACTCTTCAATAAATTGGGGGGGGGGGGGCTTTGTTTTGGTGAGTATTAGCAGCAACAAGGTGTCACCGCTATTGAGGTTGCCATTATTGGTTTTAATGAGAACATGTCTTGGTTGTAGGATTGATCAACACTATGGATTACGACTAGGATTGACTTTTGATGAAGCACACAAATCGCTACTAAAGGGTGTGTCGCCTCTAAAACTATGGTTGTCACTAATATAATTTCTTGTAGTGTAAAGCGGCCTAAGAGTTCATGAGAAATCATTTGTACATGACAATTTTTTTTAATACACAACAATTTATGGTATTGTACAACTTTATAAAGCATAATTTTTTATGAGTAAATTACATGAATGGTCCCTATGGTTTAGGATAATTTGCCCATTTGGTCCCTAATTTATTTTTTTAACTTGGAAGGTCACTATTGTTTGTTTTTGTTACGCGTTTGGTTCATGTCTTACCTAAAAAGACTATTTTGCCCTTGATTTTTTAATTTATTTAAATAAACACACCCCCAATCTCACCCTCTCACCTTACCTTACCTACCCCACCATTTTTCCCTATTTAAATAATAGTCTTTTTAGGTAAGACAGAGACCAAACGTGTAATAAAAACAAACAGTACGGACCAAGCACGTAACAAAAACAAACAATATGAACCTTCCGAGTTAAAAAAAATAAGTTAGTGACCAAACGCGCAAATTACCCCAAACCATAGGGACCATTCATGTAATTTACTTTTTTTTTTTTATGTATGGGGAAAAATTACTCTCTACGAAAGTACAAATCATTTCCCTTCATGAAAGTGTAGAACTCAATTGGCAATAAAAAGTAATGCTTGGGTTTTTTTTTTTTTTTTTTGGAACGGGCGATTAGTAATGATGTATACCCTCCTATACTTTCTCATCAAGAAAACTTAAGAAAAAAATATACATAACGTTATATTCTCTTAAAAGTTATGAGAAATAGTTATGGATGATGATACAAAACATAAATGAGTACAAATCATGACGTGGGGATTATGTTTATGTTGTATAAATTCTATTTTGGATTTAATTGGTTTCCTATTTGTTTTCAACTATACTCTTTTTATCTTTCCTAAATGTTCTAGGACTCTTTTGCTTTGGGTTTTATTTTCCTGTAAATACCTTACAGGATATCGGTTAATTTTTCAATCTCTCAATCATACGCATAGCAACAACGAAGAAAAAAATTATCTCCTCTAAAGTTCCATTTATAAATTTTCTTGGTTGTGAAGTCCTTTTGTCGTGAAACCCCTTGATTATTTCAGGGTATCACCATTGTAGATGGCTGGCAAAGACAACAGAAGAGATAAAACTCATGCTAACGTGAGCAGCTGGATTGACACCATAACAAATATCCTCGAAGGTTTGACCAGTCGTGTACAACGTATCCATAACTCACAAGAGTTGCAACCAAATCAAGAAAGTCAAAGGAGAGATAAAGGAGCCGGAATACTTGTTTTCAGACAACCACCGGACTACCACCATGAACCTCCACCACAACTAGATCCCTTAAATGGTTCTTTTTCACATGAGGAGTTGAAAGGAAATCATCATATGGAAGAATTTTTTGAGTGGATAAGGGATGTAGAAAAGTTTTCGGAGTTTATTGAAACCCCGAAGAATAAAGAAGAACTTGTAGCATATAATAGATTGAAAGAAGAGGATTCCTCATGGTGTGAACAAATTCAAAGTCAACGTAGACGAAGTGGTAAACTACCGAAGATGAAGAACATGATGAGGTATCTTCCTCCATATTATTATGATCAGTTTCTATTTGAAGAGTACTATTCGTTAACGCTAGGATCAAGTTTAGATGATGAATTTGATTCAAAGTAATATTAACCATGATATGTTTTAATTCAATCAAGAGGTGTTAGGACTGCTTATCGGATAATTTCATCCATTTAATAATAATTAGGATTATCACCTCATTTAACTTTTTCATTGTTTTGGATGCTTTAATTTAGATCAAAGATGAAGTAATTACTACAAAAGTAATAAAAGATTTGTCATATCCTTTCTCTTCAACTTTTTCCATATATGAGAGGAAAGTTCGGAAAAGAAAGTTAACAAAAAATTTCTCTTGTTTCCAAATAAAAACTTAATAACATATTTTGTGTATTTTGGATACAAAATAATTAATCGTTAATTACCATCTTTTACAAAATTAAATACTTAATTAAAATGGAAACAAGTAGAAGTTATTTATTGGGGATCTAATATTTACGTACATATCCACTCTGAATATCCAAAGTTCAAAAATAGTAAACAAAAATATATCTTTACTATTTAATTTAATTTTTATTATTATTGCAATTACTATAATATATATATATATATATATATATATATATAATATAATTATAATATATCTATATATATTATATTAGATAGATATATATAACGAGAGCCAAAATTACAGAAAATGGATGAACAAACTTAAGAGTTAAGACCATCAATTGATGATGATGAAATCAAACAAAACTATAACAGAATATATAATCAAGAAACAGATTAAAGCAACTAATATCAAAGTAGTATTTCCACGTATAATCTGTTATTAATGATGATCAATTTAAACAAAATTTTATCATTAATGAACAATGATCCGAGTAGTAAAAAACTGTTATAGGCATGATGCAATCATGAATGTTTAATCGTATTAGTATGAACTATGAAATGATACTTTGAATGTATAGATCTAGATCTAAATGTAGTAATAATGCGTTCCAACTCAAATTCAAATTTCAAAAACTTATCTAGATGAAATCCATTCTTGCCGCGTAACTGTACTGTGCTCGCCGGATATTCTGTTGCCGCTTCCTGTACACAATCCCTCCGAATCCGACGAAACAAGCGGCGGCGATCACTCCGAACGCAACTCCCGCTTTCTTCCCTCCGCTCATCCCTTCCGACGACGGTTCTTTAGGTTCTTGACTCTTCAAATCGGCGGCCATGTCACTAGCTTCAGACGGTGACGGAGACGGAGACGGAGAAGGCGAAAAGGACGATGGCGCCGATTCATCAAATGATGGAGAAGGTGAGAGATCTGAAGGTGGAGTCGCAAGTGGTGAATCATAAGGCGAAGGGGAGGAAGAGGAGGGGACTGGATATGAGTCGTCTGAACCTGATTCTGGAGCGGGAGACGGCGAGGGGGAGAATTCCGGCGGATCGGAAGAATAAACGGCGAGAATGAAAAATGTTGTGATGACGAATGCGTGAAGGAGACCAGTGATCTTCATTGTTGTGACAGCGTAAGGATTGATGAAGATTAATCGGAGTTTATACAAGTTTTTGCAGATCTAAGATTGAAGTAAAGCGATTGAAGAAACGTAGAAAAGAAGAGATTGAACGTGAAAGGGTTTTATGAACTGCCGTCGGTTTGGAAGCGGCGTAAAGGTGACAGAAACAGAATCTGTGGCGTTGACAATTGAAATGCATTTTCGTTATTATATTGCAAAAAAACGTGAAAGGAAACATATGATAAAAACTCGTATTTTTACACTTTTACAGTTTATCATACATCACAGTAAATATGATTTTTTTTTTTAAATATCAGAACAGAAATCATATATTTATCATTGAAATTTTTATTGAAAATAATCACAAAAATCTAACACAAACAAATTCAATTGATTACTGATGTTATTGCGATACTTAAACATAAAAGAATTGATAAAGAACTAAAAGTTCTTGAAATCTTTCTTTCCCTTTGAGCTCCATGCTATGACATTTCCTGAAAAATATGTAAGCTTAGCACATTTATTCGTAAATATGTACCCAAAAAGCATATTGAAGATACTGAGCTGTACATATATGGATGATATATATGAGCTTAAAATTTTCAGTTTAAATAAAATATTTCAAATTGCATTGGGGAGTTTTTAACTTTTAGTTCTTATTTTTTTGTTATTTTACACCTTCTAGAAGATTATAGTTTACTTTAGTTGAACATTTCTATTTAAATAAAAACTACAATGATAGCCTCCAACTTACAACTTATAGCTACCAATTTTCACCTTTCAAATACTAATCGGGTAATTCTAAAGACACGAATAAATATCTATATGCACGAATAATTATTGCAAAGTAGTCTTCCATCAATCGAATCTCATGTATATAAATCCCGAATATAATGGTATTTTAATTTTCAAAGAGGGTCCTCATGCTTTTATTTATCTTTCAAAATTTACCTTTTGTTTTTCAAAATTTTATTTTAAACCTTTTAATTAATATGTTCCAATTATGTTTTCAAATTTTGTCCTCATACTTTTATTTATCTTTCAAAATTTACCTTTTAAGGAATTGCATAAAAACATAATCAAGTCAAATTTTGTCCTCATACTTTTGTTTTACAAGGAAACCGAGTCAATAATCTTATATATTTAATTATATGTAAACAATAAATTTAATATAGATTTACATGGTTTGTTAAAATTATTTTTTTTATGTAATTATTGTTAACCGATAATCTCATGATTGTTCCTATTGATAGCAATAAGGTTCACCGTGGCCAATAACCAAACCAAACCGTCCAATACGCATCTCTATTAAAAATATATAATTAGAAAATATGTATTGTTTTCTATATACACTACAAAAAAAATTTCGATTTAGATACGGAAAAATTTCATAGCAAAAACATGAAATTCCGTAGCTAAAGCCAAATAACTATGGAATTTGTGACGTAAATTTTCAATTAGACTCCGTATATGTTTGCTAAATTAAAAAAAAACAATTTTTTTTATTTATAGAGATCTTAATAATTATAAACAACAAAACATAAACTTGATTTTATTAATTATCAGATATTATAACTGTAGAATTGTTACAATTACTGTGTGTTGCAAATGGAGAAATGTATGAATTCAGGCGAGCAGCATAAACAGTTTCCCATCCAGCAGACCGTAATGATCTGTTGTGACGCCAAAGTGGCAAATAGTAGGCATTGGATATGCTCCATGTAAATCAACCTTCACATAATGATCACCTCTAACAAGAGCAACAACAACAACTCTATGAGTTGAGATGTCTTGGGGACCAAGCCATAGTGGAAAACATGTTGATGGACTATCTTTGCTTAGAAAAATAACTATTACACTATACTTGTTAGCAATGAGAAAGCTAGTGACCGGCATAATCAACCAACGATCTTTTGGTGCGAAATGTGATCCATTGAAATTCAATGAGTGATGTATGGTGTTTAAATCGTAATAAAAAATTTGTGCGTACTCAGCTGGGTGTGCTAACAACTCATTTTGTAAATCTAAGCGGATTTGACGCCAATTATCTTCACTATAACCGAGACACGCAGCTATTGCAAGAAATCCACAATTTCCATCTCCCCTCACGTTTTGTATGTTTGTGACATATGGATGAAATTCATACGGAATTTCATTCATAAGTGGATCTGAATTATACATTATTTGTTCTTGGTTGAAGTACGAGTTATGCATCGATTGTTCCTGATTAAAAGTTGAGTTGAACATTGGAGGTTCTCGGAACGAGTACGTACTGTGCCTATCCGGTTCCTGGTTTAGATCAAACAAATTAGACCGCATATAATTAGGCGTATAAGTAGAAATGTTGCGTCGAGATGGATATTGAGTTGGTGGCGCTTGAGTCGGTTGATCTTGAGGTGGTGGATCTTGAGTTGGTGGGTCCTGGTTTAAATCGATATGGGTTTTCTTGAAAAGTTTCTTCTTTAAGGAGGGGCGCCCACGAGTATTTTTGTGAGTAGCAGGTTCAGAAACTGAAGTTGTTGACGGCGTGATTAAGTTTAGTAACTTCCTTGCTAAACTTAACTTAGCAGGTCTTAATTGTTTTTCGTAATGAGCATTAAACATATTTACCTCAACTGCACAACCCAAATTGTCATCTTCTAACGATTTGCATTCTAATAAATCAAGTTTCTTCCAAAACTTATCGACTGAATGAAGCGGTACATAATGACCTTTTTTAACAAATATAGCTTGTTCATGCGATACATAATGACCTTTTTTAACAAATATAGTTGAATAAATCAAAGACACAAACTTTTCTTTGTGTGGTGTCAACCATGTTTTGTTTAGATAAGAAAATGCATCTGAAATACATAAACAAATTTCAGTTGATGTAATGAATTATAACATATTATAATGTATATTTAAAAATACCTGGATAGTTGTTCGTAATTTTTTCAACTTGTGCCAAATTCTTGTTGTATGCTTCCTTTGTTTCAGAGTTAACCAACCTCGTCCATGACGTATAAAGAACATCCCAACATGATTTGCATTTCTTCATGATATTGTTATTTATATGCCATCTGCAAAGTAATCCTTTAGCATCTGGAAATATAATAGCGTATGCGTTCATGAGAGCCATTTCTCTATCGGTCACAATAACACGCGGCAACATACATCCTTCCATTACCGATTTTAGACAGTCTAAAGCCCAAACATAGTTGGACTGTTTTTCTTCATGCATGTACACAAATGCAATGGAAAATGTCATATTTGTTGGAGTTACACCAACAATCTCCAATAGAGGCATCCCGTACTTGTTTGTCTTATATGTTGCATCCATTAACAAAAACATGTGGAAATGCACGCCATATTTCTAATGATCTTGGATGAGCAAAGAATAAATCTTCTAACTTATTTGTCAAAACATTTGCACGACTATAATAAACATATCCATTTTGATCTAGAAATTCCATAACACCTTGCATTTGAGTTTTACCTTCTCTCTCCCTACGTCGAACTTTTTCGTCTGCATTGTAGATAGTTTTGAGAGTAGATACATTTTTTGGATTTAGGTTTTTTAGTGCAGATAATATATCTTTTGGTTTGATATTTTTTTTCAACAAATCTTCCACTACTCGACATTCATATTCAGTTAGCCGTCGTGGATAAGGATGACCTTCCAAATATAATGACGGCTCATGGTTATGAAATTCACATATCATTTTTATCTTCCAAGAATTTTCTACTGACGAATATTTACCCTGTAGGCTAAATGGACAATTAATTTTTTTTGTCCCTATTTTTTTTTTTAGAGATTTTTGTACTTTTGTATGTACTTCCACGGTCACATTGAAATACAACATTAAAGTTACGTTTCGAATTTTTTATGACGATGACATAACCTAAAGTATTTGCCATATTTTGCACCCAATCCATCAATTCTTGACGAGAATTGAACACCTGGCAATTATATTATTATCAGTAGCTAACAAATCCACTCGATGCTAACATTACTGTAACAACATACTAATGAATTTATACCTTATCTGTTTTGAATGGTGATGTGTCATCGAAGAAATAACGACTTTCATTCAAACTTTCATTTTCATCTGCTTCATTTGTGTCCATTGGATGAATATCCGTTTCGAATGGCGATGTGTCGTCGAAAAAATAGTTACTTTCATTGAAGCTATTATTTTCATCTACTTCATTTGTCTCCATTGGATGAATATCATCTCTCTAAACATAACAAAGAGAAAAACATACATTTAATAATAATAATAATAATAATAATAATAATGATAATAATAATAATAATAATAATAATAATAAGAAAGGTTAAGTACAAATACCTCATAATATGTGTCACCCATCCATTCTTCCCAACTTGTCATTTAATAAAATCTATATTTATAACAAGTATCGTATGTTTGCTTTTAAGGAAAGTTACTTTCAAAATAACATTGCAAGTCACTTTCAGTTTAACATATAAGAAAATCTATATATAGAAAGAAATTGTAACCAAATTTTCATTTTTATCCCTTCTATTTTTGTTAATGTTTCATAGTTTATATTTCTTATTTAACAAATTTATTTTTTTCTATTAATATTTAATAATATTCATTATTACTCTTCTTGTAAATGTATTAATGAGATCATTTTAATTATACAACTTTTATGAATAAATAATATGTTTATATTTGTTAGTTTTCAAAATTAATAAAGTTTTAAGGGTTTAAGATTTAAATTGATAAAATCTAGGGTCTTTTTTAAAACTACAACGTAAACTGAGGGTATAAAATTGTAATATTACATTTTATCGATAGAATGATTGGCACACATATTAATACACATATCAATTACACGATTTTATTCGTGTATATAGGAGCACCCAATATATATATATATATATATATATATATATATATATATATATATATATATATATCCCGAATATAATGTTATTTTAATTTTCAAATGTTGTCCTCATGCTTTTATTTATCTTTCAAAATTTACCT